TTGACTTTCTAAGAATAGGTGAGCTATGCTTCTGCTCCATTGTCTAGTGGGACTGACTGCCTCCAAAGGCCATAGTTGGTAAAACAGATTGCAATACTCATGTTTTAATTGTGAACCACTCTCAGTTTTATGTTCAATTAACAGACTAACCCGCCTCTTGTTCAAGTAATAACAATTGTCAGCATTTGTACAGCTGGTTTACTTATCTTTGTCAGATCCAACTGTTTCTATCCCCATTTATGTCACCATCTTGCTCCTTATTCATTCTTTTTGTGTCCTTGGCTGTTATTAGTTTATCAACAGACAAAACACATTTACATTAAAATTCTGCTATTCTAATGTAAATAATTATTAGAGTTATTCTAATATTGTATTACATTACTGTTCATGACTGACTATAGTTGTATCTAAAGTGATTGACGGGTGCATCTCATAGTGACTGTCTTTGTGATTCTGGGTTGTTTGTTTGGGGAACCCAGATGAGCTGATAGCAATATGGGGTGGCACATCAAAATCAAAAGCTTGTTTTTCAGTTGGTATATTCTTAAACCTTTTTTTTTTTTCAAATAAAAAGAATATTACTGACCAGGCATTTAAATGCATTGTATAACTTATTCTGTGCATATATCGTCATATTAAGCAAAATTAAGGAATTTTAATGTGTGGAACGGTTACCTTTGAACTATTGAAATTTATTCAGATTAACAGCCAAAGTTCCCAACTACAAAATTTTGAGACAATAAATCTTTATTAGGGTGTCTACACTGTTTTAATTTCTTAGCTAAGTTTCTTGGAACTACAGAAGGTTTGGCAAAGGAGAATCGGGTGGCAGTGGCTGGAGAAGAACAGCATTTCTAACTACCGGTACTTAAAAACACTGAAAAGATCATAAAAATAAAATTTAACTAAACCTTAGGCCTATTGTGCCTGATATAAGCAAAGAAACAGAATACAATAGAAATAAATTGTTCCTCAGTTGGGAAATAAAAAAAATGGGTGGAATCAAACCATGGAATGTTGCTTAATTTGTTCTGAACTTACTCTTCTGCTTTGCACTGATAGAATCAGCCAGGAGAGCATTATGATACAGCAGCTAACAGACAACCCCAAGCAGACTTCTAGAGGATCAGTTTATTTAAGTTATAAGACCTAACAACCCTTCCTTTGCAATTGAATTGGGCACCCCTGCTCTCTAAGACATACCTTTTTTCACTTGACTATGATGAAAAATATCTGCATACATGTAAACAGTAGGTCTCTGGGATGCAGCCACCTGTATACACACAGGTGGTTGACATCAGTTACTGGGCAAACAAATTAGACCCAGCAAAATACTGGCCGACACCATCACACTTTCATCTAACAGAAATGGATAAACTAATTACTTTAACGCCCAATCTTGATCTGTTGCAGTTTTAAGCAGTGCATCCAGAGCTTGACAGGTGTAACACTCTCCTCAACGTCTTTTACTTATACTGAGACAACAGCTTGAACCAATACCATTTATTAACAGAACACTTCTTAACTGTGTATTCCAAGTAGAAAAGTATTAAAATATTAAACCCAGTATAAGCAGGGCAAACTCTAACATTCTGGCTTGTTGCATTACCAGAGATGGTAATGCTGATACCATATTTCATGTTCTACTCTCCCAATGACAGCGTTTAGTGATAACAATCCAAGCAAAAATCTGAGGAGCCCAGGTTACAGTTTGAAATGCTCTTTAGCATTGTTTACTTTTATGTCTGCATGTTCAGTAATACTTTAAAAGAACTCAGACTAAGCTTTAGAAAAGAAACCAACAGCTTTATATGATTGGTTCTCTTGTCCTTTTCTCAACATTCTTTCATTCATCATCTGAAATCCTTTAGTCAGAGAGACCTTAATGCTCAGCCCCAGTCTTACCGATTCTTACTTAACCTGCCACATGTTCTGGTCCGCATTGTTCTCCTTGCTTCCTGTCCTCTGATTACCAAACTTTAAGCCAGGAAGGACTGTTTTTGTTTCCTTGGATGTGGATTTTGCCAAAAATGTGGACTCAGTTGTACAGTTTTAGTGTATCTGCTGTCCTAACATATTGCAAAATATGTTTTTATCAGCTTTTCGAAACTGGTTAAAACCTATAATTTTCAAGGCACAAATATTCCCTGACTTGGCCCCAAACAAGTTATTTTGCTATGGATTCATAACAAATCAGAGGTTTATTGTTCCAGAGTGGATGCCACAAGTGATTAGACCGCTTCAGTTGGAGCGCTAAACATCTCAGCTAAACTCAGAGGGCCATAATAAACTAACAAGACAGAGCAGAATCCAGCCATCAGTATGTGGAGCATGCATGAAAAAACATCTTATTTTCCTGGAAACAGTTTCAAAGCAAAGATGCACTCCCAAATTATTAGGCTATAAAATGTTTCCCCACCAAGCTGTCACGAACGATCAGAAATACTTTAAGTCTCTCAGGCTGTTATTACTGCTTTGTGCTGAAAGAAGATGAGCTGGATACTGGTGATTTATTTGGCACCAGCTGTTTATGAAAGTGATCAGAATTGGGATGCATGCTATTATTTTTCTTTGGATATTAGATTCCAATAGACAGATCAGCTTAGTTCTGCTCTGACTGTGAGATACAGAGTTACTGATAATGGCCAACTGAATCCCATTATATATAAATATAAATACTGCTTTTTAGATAGAAAAAAATAGATTTTTGCTTGCAAACATGTTCAATATCAGTACTATTGTTGCAAGTCTTAGTACAGATAGTGAACATTTCCTTTTTTTTTTTTTTTTTCTTCTTTTCTTTTCTTAGAGCATAAACAGCAGTGCATAGGATTTCCCAAAATGATAGTGAACATTTCCAAGTATTCAAAAAGTTAAGACATATTTAACGGAAAAAAAAAATGCAATTTTTTTTTTTTAGATTGCTCCTGCATTGTATTTCAAAAAAATCTTAAATGTATTACTTTTTAATGTATCAATTTGTGACATTTCCTGCAGCTCTTTAACCTTAGCAGTCCTAGTCCAATATCACATTAAATAGTTACTACAATCAATGCCACATATTTTCCTGAAAATCCAATTTTTAAGTCCAGGAAAAGAGCACCCTACATTTCCATGGTGTTATATTAGATACACTAACTTACAGCAGTATTAGAGACTCTGAAACAATGGCTTTAAATGACTCAGAAATGTTTTCGCAACTTGAGTTTTTACAGGAAACATTCTCTATGCTGCCACCATAAATGGATTAACTAGGTTAGGAAAGCTATATTTACTGTTTTGCTACACAGCTTAAAGTAACCCTGAGCCACGGAAATTTAAGATTTTTTCAGAATACCAATTAACTGAGATTTCTCATAATTTCTACTAAAGACTTTTTTTTTTTTATCAGCCCAATGATTTTGTATGTTTACCTTCTCAAAAGAGAGGGTTGGATATGCAGTACCAGCCGTGCTGGTGGGCCAATTTATTTATTTTTTAATATAATTCTTGAATTGTGATCAGCGCAAAATTTATATGAGGGGACAATATTTTCAAAAGCCATCACCTAAGAAAAGCATATCAGTATCAGTTGTTTCTGAAAATGACATGAGTTACTTTGCTAATACAAGTGTCTTTCCTTAGCTGAAAATATTTTTACTTTCACATCATTTCGCTAAGTTAACATCAGTTTATATTTATATATAATTTGGGCACATGATACATAATTAAATGATTTCCAGTTGTTTTTGTTCAGAAAAAACGTAAGGTTTATGGTCCTGCTTAATTTACAGCACTGTCTGTAAACCTTGTGAAAAAAACAGTGTTTCAGCTGCTCCCTTCCACACAGACAGCTGCACATCTATACATCTCTGATACTGATTATTGTACATTATTGAACATTTTCTGATCAGGACATCCATACGCATAATGATATACTATCACAATGCTTAGGCTTAGTATTGTGGGCATGCTTTCTTAAATATGCTTTTTTTTTAGACACATTTTATTTTGACAACAGGATATGTATGTGAAAGACAGCTGTTTTCAAATAATCTTTCACAATTCTAGACAAAAGTTAAAACTAAACTCTTCAGGTCGGTGGAGAGTCCTTGTCTCAAGTGGAGGAGTTCAAGTATCTCAGGGTCTTGTTAACGAGTGAGGGACGGATGGAGCATGAGATTGACAGACGGATTGGTGCAGCGTCAGCAGTGATGCGGTCGCTGTATCTGACTGTCGTGGTGAAGTGGAGCTGAGTTGGGGCGAGCAAAGCTCTCAATTTACCGATCAATCTACTTTCCCACCGTCACCTACTGTATGGTCATGAGATCTGGGTAATGCCCGAAAGGACAAGATTACGAATACAAGCGACCAAAATGAGTTTACTCTGCAGGGTGGCTGGGTGCATCCTTCGAGATCGGGCGAGGAGCTCAGTTACCCGGGAGGTGCTCGGAGTAGAGTCGTTGCTCCTCCAAATCGAAAGGAGCCAGCTGAAGTGGCTCTGGCATCTGTTTCGGATGCCTCCTAGTCGCCTCCCTCGGGAGGTGTTCCAGGCATGTCCCATTGGGAGGATGCCTCGTGGAAGGCCCAGGACAAGCAGAAGGAACTATGCATCTGAGTTGTGTTGCCTTGGGGTTGCCCCAGAGCAGCTGGAAGAAGTGTGTGTGTGCATCAGGAAGTCTGGGCATCTCTGCTTAGACTGCTGCCTCTGCGA